CCATATGTACCATTGGTATTTCGTAGGACAAGGCCATGTCTAGTAGAAAATAAATCTGTAAACTTTGTAGCGGCGTCGTTATCAAAAGATCAAATGGGTCCTATCGGTACAACGAACATCAAAGGGACGCGAGTAATGAATATTTTAGATGAAAAGCAATGGACCGGTCTAAGTAGGAGTGTAATATTGGAACGAACTGAATACATGTCGAGAATGATAAATGAAATACTCTTTTATACACGAATAAAGCAGAATACTGATGTTTGGGGAATGTGAGTTATCCAAAGTGTGTCATTTTAAGCTTATGTAAGGCCGAATGTGGATATCGAATAGAGCGCCAATGAAGTATTCCCGATACTTGTTTGCCATGATTATCATATGTTAGGGCATTGGTTGACGTATTCTGCCTGTAGAATAGAATAATTAGTAGCTGTAGGAAGGAATTGGGTTGCATTATTTTTGAGAGTAGTTGTTGGAAGAAATGAAGTAGTCGTTTCCAAGCCCAAGTTAAGGAACTATTGTGATCATACACATTTTAGAGCTATAAATAAAATACTATTATATGCTACATTTCTCTCGATATACTCATATGTTTTTGTTATTTTTTATTTTCTGTTGTTTGTACTACTTTGTTGTTAGAAATTGCTACCACCAGGGAAGAATAAAATTACCAAACCTGTATGCATTGTTTGCGTGTAGTAGTACTATATTTTCCGAGTGACAGTACCACAGCTTAGTTAACAATCAGCTATGATACTCTTCTGCCAGTGTCAAAAACGGCCGCCCATTCGGCGGAGAAAATTGCATGTAAATTCCCCTCGAACAATGATGAAAGAGGTTTTAGAGCTCACTAGCAGCCGGTGTTGCCACGTACTCTGCAGCAGTCGCAGATATTCTTTGAAATCTTAAAATGATAATATTTCGATATGATCTAGTGTAGTTTACGTGAATCAATAATAAAAAGGAGTAAGTTTGTAAAAAAATAAGCGAAGGAATATTGATGACAATTTATTTATGAAACAGTTACAAAATGTGTAATGGTAGAAGTATTTTTACAATAAACGGAAAAAAATTACTTTTGCTATGTATTCTACGATGCTGATATATAATCAATCATAATACTTTCGGTGTCTTTGTCGCGGAAACACGAGAGCTAACGACCAGCAAAGCGACAACCAACACAATCTAACCTGACATTTCTGACAACGACTTCTCAACTAGAATGCTTGGCGAACCTTTAATGTGTAATGGGTCCATAGTTCCTATATTTAAAGTACCTAAAAAAGCTAGCAATAAAAATTGTAAGCAGCTATATGCTCATTCCTTGGAAAATATGCCTCTCTCCCCAGGGTGATTCATATCTATAGGACAACACTAAAATGTATTTTTCAAATGAAGTATCCTATATAATTTAGTGTATTTTCAAATACCTCTTCAAGGGAAAAACTTTGATACAGTGTTTGTAGTGCTATGCAGCTACGGGATATTTTGTACGGAAAAACAATGAACTTTGATAGCTTGTAAGTCAGTCACTTTTGCAGTAAAAGTAGCAAAATTTTAGACAAAATGAGCTTCACATCCCGTAGTTCTCAAGCAGTGGCTTCTCAAATAGGGACAGACCCGTAATGTAAGTCTTGTAAAGTATTGCAAAGTACACCTTTTTATGGGTTTTAGACGTGTGTCTTGTCTAATTCGTTTATGTAGAAACATCCTCAATGTCATGCGTTTACAACTAATTCATCACTGCTTTATATTTTGCAGTAATAACGTTTGTTTGAAATAATGCTATTTTAGTAACAGCGCTGCATTAGGCCAACGCGGGGCCTGTAGCAAATTATATCAAGTGGCCTAGGAGTGATTGAAAATTGAAAAGTACTCCTCTTGCTATTCCACCACTGTTTGCTAAGAAAGAACAGAACCTTAGAATTCATGGTGAGCCCACATGAGTATTTAAATGAGAGAACTAAGAAACATTGTTTATCGGTACATCTAAACCATTTTGCAGAAATGCTTTTGTGTTCTTCGCTCATTCTGAACAAACTCTCTCTATGGTAGACCGATTTATGACACGTGTATAGTTTGTGTTTAGAATGAGCGAATAATAAGAAAAGGATGTTCTATTTAAAGAAATGTGTTTTGTATTGTAGTGGTATTTAAAACATTGGAACTATCGACTGCTTACACATCAAAAACTCGCCCTGTATGTAAAAATATCCACGTTGCTGGTGCTTTGCTCTCGTTTTTCTTTTCGCAACAAAGACACGGACACTCTTATGATTCAGTGAATGTTGTTTTTAGCTGGTGCTTTTAACAGTGTTTACATCGAAAATACAATATATTGCGAATATCGCAGCAGCAGAGAATGCATTTCAAAACAAACTATTTTTCTGTATTGTAAATACTTCCACCAATACGAATTAATTTTACAGCTTTTTCATAAATAGTCATCAATACTTCGTCGGTCCATTTTGGACAAACATGTTCCTTTCTCTTATTGGCTCAGACAAACTATACTAGATCATACCGGAATATTATAATTTGCCGCTGGCAGGGCACATGGCAACACCGGCTGCTGCTGAACATTAAAACCTCTTTCATCATTGTACCAGGGGAATCTACATGTAATTTTCTCCGGCGAAATGGTGGCCGTTTTTGGCACTGACAGAAGAGTTTCGTAGCTGATTGTTATCTAAGCTGTGACAGTACTCAGTATATTATAATGGCGAACATACTATATAGGGTGTTTCAAATTCGACCATCATCATTGGGATCTCGGAAACTGTAAGAGATATGAAGTCGCTAAAATGGGGGAAAGGTTGGGAATCTAGGTAATCAAAAAAGGCTGCTTAGAAAGTTTCGAAGTTCAAGGTACTTCCGGAGAGAGACGGCAAAAAAAGTAAATTTTCCCAAAATCGTTCATTTCTTTCCTGACTTTATTTAGTGGAATTTCAAAATAAATTGCAAAACAATATTGTCACTTTTTCTCCTACACAAGATGGCATAATTACAATTTCAATATGATGTTTCGTCTCTTGTCCTCCAGCATCAACTTTATATTATTATTTATTTTTAATTCTGATTCCAAAAATGTATGATACATCATAAATTGACATTACCGTGATTTCACATACCAGATTTATCTCAAAATCACTTAATTTTCCATGAATTCATTTGAGATGGAATTTTAGAATAAATTGCATATTGTCCTCTACAAGATGGTTGACAAATTTTTAATTCGACATTTTTTCTTTCGACTTCCATTATGAACTTTGTTTTTTCATTTGGACGCTGTATTCGAATTTTATGCATTTAAATGGACTTGTCAGTCCTCAATTCAGTGGTGTTATCCTTAGTTGGCTATAAATTTGTTGGTTGAAAACTCTATACACCTTTGCGAAAATCTAATATGGCGTCCATAAGAAAAAATAAAGTTGATGCTGGAGGACACGAGACGGAACGTCATATTGAAATTCTAATTTTCCCATCTTGTAGAATAGAAACAGTGACAAGTTTAACGTGCAATTTATTTTAAAATCCTACTACAATTAAAGTCGTCAAAAAGTTAAAACGATTTTGGGAAAATTCGGTTTTTTCCACCTCTTTCCGGAAGCACTTTCATTTCTGAGCGGCGTTTTTTTGATTACCTAAATACGCAACTTTGTCCTTATTTTAGCGAATTCGTATCTCATATAGTTTCCGAGATCCCAATGGTGAGGGTCGAATTTGACGTATACGGTGAATAACCTGTCACCTGTTTATTTACAAAGTTCTGTATTTATTTCATCTGCAAAGCAGTGCCGATAAGCTAGCAGGGCAAAATAACAGAAATTAGTGACTCACAGCTTTTTTTTAGATGCTAACAGCATAAGGTGCGTATTCCTAATTGAAATCAGTTAAATTATGTACGATTAAAACTGTTTTGTTTACGGTCATTATACTATAACAAAACGCGGAATAGTATCATATAAAAATCCTTAGTAAGACGTTCGTCATGCTTTCATCTACGTGTCACTCCCTGCTAAGTATTTTAGATTCCGACGCAGATTCACACAGTCCTTTCGCGCATTCGCGTTCCTCATAGCAAACGACGGCGACGGCAGCATTCGCTATTCATGTATATCGGCTATGCCACAGTTTCTTAGCAATCTACAAAGCTTCCTTGTATTCATGAATGTATATTTTCTTGTCAGTTTTTGATCAAAATGTATTTGTATGAAGACACTACAATTTTTAATGCCATGTTCTGATGGTATACACAGATATAACATACATTACGAGTATATGTGGATAGGTATATTCTTCACCGCCTCTGCATGGACGATCAAAATAAAGTTATATTATCTACTATGTTATTTTTGAAAATCGTCGGTAACATGACGCCATAAACCATAACCATAAACATCCGTCTTCTATGAAATTATGAAATTACCCCAACCACAATACCTCTTTTCAGCATGGAAAGCAAAAGGCAGAAAATATTTATCCTACAAATCAAAGTCTACTTGCAAAGATATACAGAATGTTTCCAAAGCTTGGAGTAAGCATTCAAAGGGTATCTCTTGGACTATCCACGATTCTAATACTATTCTCTGACGAGTTTTGAAATGCCGATTCATTTTGGACATACTGGTACCTAGACGCCGCTGGAAGTCGTCTTTTCTTAAATAAAGTCTGAGCAATACCGTATAATCCAACTATATTTTAATAGCGTAGTGTCTGGTTAAGGTCTCACGCAATGATGATCATGTAAGGAAAATTAGCTCATTTGGTTCGCAAGACTAGCTCTAGTGTAATATTGCCAATATGTTGAACCGTGTATTAGAATGGGCCCTACGGTGATATTTTGAAAGAAATGTGTATGATTTCGATAAAATAAACCATTTTTGAGAGAAAAAACCTTCTTTCAACACCACACCTCTCGACTTGCGTTACATGCAATGGAATAGTTCGGTTCATTATACAAGTTTCACGATAAAACAGTAAATAATATCCGACTTCCA